AGAGCAACCTTTGACTTTTTCCTCCAGTCTGCTCTCCACATATAAACCAGACGTGTCACTTCCAATGGCTTTCCATTCAGAGTGAACTGCACTACCTCCTATACTTGGCCCCTTACTCACTGTGCTCCTCCTGGCATCTTCCTCAAACATGCTCAGCATCCATCACATCACAGTCTTTGCATTTGCTGTTCCCACTGTCAGGGTACCTGTCATTCCCTGCACTTTCCTGAGCAGCCAACATTTAAGCAGCAGTCCCCACTCATCCCTCTTTATCTCCCTTACTTTTGCTTAATTTTTCTTCAAAGCATTTTTCACTATATATTGTTTTATATATTTATTGTTTTATGGTCTATCTCCCTTCACTGTAAATAAAAGTTCAATCAAGTCAGGGACATTGTTTATGCTATAACACCAGCACCCAGACTGGGGCCTGACAACTCAGTATATATTTGCTAAATGAATGAATAAAACTCAGCTTCTAGCTCCTCAGTCTGAGAACTCCAAGTGTCCAGGATTAGCCTCTTACGCTCCTATGAACTAATGGGCTTTATTGTTAAATGGTTCTTGGTGGAGACAAAACACTGAAAGAATACTACTCCAGAAGGTAAGGGGGGAAAAGGAGAAAAGCCTCACTATGTGGCTCTGAGAATTCTATTTTTCCTTGTCACCCTACTATGCATTTACTAGAGACAAAGCTAATGGAGAATCCCTCTCCAGACTCAAAACTTCGAACTAAAACAAGGGGAAAAATAAGAATATACGGCCCTTACCTGCTGCAAAGAGATTAAGATTGGGGTGGGCAGCTAGGACCCAGAAACGATCATGGTCCCTGCGGAAAGTCTGAACTCCAGTCCTAGGAAAATAAAAGGCACAGAAAGAAAAATATAACTTCTGAGGAATCTACAGCCCGTCATATTGTTACAAGAGTATTTAGTGGTAAGCCAGCATTTAAGTCAGGGACAGTATACTGCATATCCTAAATAAAGGTAGTCATGATAAAGTCTACCAAAAAACAGAAAGAGGAAACTCCAAACTGACCCTATTATTTTGCTATTTCAATTTCCCACTATTCATCATAATTTTCTACTATTCTACTTTCATTCCACATTTCTTATTTCTCTAGCTATAGAAGAACATGCTTAAATTTAGAGAAGAAAAAGAATACACATGGAGATTTCTATTTGATGGAAAATTTGTAAATGTTAGCTGATTTCTAGGTCCCGTCAAGTTTTCATAATAAAGGCATACCTCGTTTTATCAAGCTTCGCTGTATTGAGCTTTGTAGTTATTGCATTGTTTCACAAATTGAAAGTTTGTGGCAACCCTGCATCAAGCAAGTCTATCAGTGCCATTTTTTCAATAGGCTCAGATAATGGTTAACATAGCTTCTATATGTACTGGGAAACTAAAAAATTCATGTGACTCACTTTACTGCCATATCTACTCTATTGCAGTGGTCTGGAACTCAACCTACAATATCTCCGAGTTATGCCTGTACATGATTTGACTTTTCTACATGCTGAAGATGATGAGAAACTAACAGTAGTATTCTAATCTAATTTTTAAAAAGAGAGCGAGTAAGAGGGAGAAAAGGGCTTCCCCTGGGTTTGGTCCCACAGCATTGTAACCCATTTACCGCTTAGACATATCCCAGACTCGGATACTCTTGTCCTCAGAATTGCTGAGGATCAACTCTTGGCGAGGGTGGAAGACAGCACAAGACACATTGTTATAATGGCCCCGGCAGGTATCAACCTCCCATGCCTTTGATTCTGAAGAACAAAAAAGAATTAGGTCATCACAACTCCCTACTACTATGAGTTTGGAATTCGGAATTATGACATCCTCTAACGAAATGCTAGGTACTACTACAAAGGGCTCTATTAGCAACTTCCTTCTAATAGGGCAGTTTTCTTCATTTAAGCCTCTGAATCTTTACATATTTAACTGTTCTTTCATTTTGACCCTCCTATCAATTATATTGGGTTGTCGGAAAAATCATGACACATTTTTGCAACGAAAAACAGAAAATATATGTCATGACTTTTCCGACAATCCAATAGCACCTCTTCTCCATCATTCTTTATCCCCTTACCCAGTTTTGTCACTAGCTGTCATTATAGAATAAATGCAAGATCCATTTGGTAGGAATTTTATGTTTTACACTGCTATATCTCCAGAGCCTTGAACAATGGTTAGTATAAAGTAGGTACTCAATAAATATTTGTTGAGTCAATGCATTCCTCTTTTCACTGTGTTCCTACTCTTTAAAAATCAGGATGCCATCACAAAAACAAAAACAAAAACAAAAACAGGGAATGGGGCAATTTTTATGCTCCCAGGATTAGCATAACTACCTAAGATAGTATTTAAAATGGATCACTGAGGCCAGAAGACCTGGCTACTTCACCTCGCTGACCTGTGACACTGTCCTTCTTCACTCACCATTCATGCGCCAGATCTTCACTTGCCGGTCATCTGCCCCAGATACAATAAGGGGCATAGTGGGATGGAAGGCAGCCCAGTTTACTCCACGATCGTGACCCTGTGGCAAAAAAAGAAGTGGTTCTTCTAAAATGGCTTTATGTCCATTACACAAAGTAAACCAATGGCCCATGCTGACGGTTATAAAAAATGTCTCTGATTTTTATTCTTCGTGTGAAAAGACTAAACAGACTATGCTGCTCTAAGATTTGAACATGAGATCTATCCAATATTACCCCAAATTCTCATGGGAGTTCTCCCCCCAAGTTCAGCTTCATTTGCATCTAGGATAGACTGCCTTGTTACTTGTCTATTTATAAATTTCTCCAATTAATTATAACATCTCAAGAATAAAGACCAGTTTTATAACTTAATGAAGAAATTCTCAAAGTGTGGTAGGGAAACTCTTGCATGATCCCCAAGTTCCTTTTAGGAAATCTGCAAGGTCAGAACTATTTTCATAATAATACTAAGATATCATTTGCCTTCTCACTCTTTACTGTCTCATGAGTGTAGCATTTTCCAGAGGCTACATGACATGTGATAATGTCATTGCTTTGATGGCTAATGGGATGTGTACTTATATATTTTATGTTTTAGAAGTTCTTGGTTTCAATTTCAAATATGGTAAAAATGAACAGATATAACCTATATAAACAAAAACTCTTCGGGGTTCTCAATAAGTTTTAAGAGTACAAAGAGGTTACCAGACCAGAAAGTTTAAGTACTGCTGATTTTAAGATATATTATACCCTATTTACATAGTTGTACTCTGTATTGTGACATAATCATACATAAGGCAATTTCGAATTAGTATTTTTGAGATAGCGTGTGGTAAAAAGTACATGGGTTTTGGAGTCAAACAAATCCAAGTTTAAGTCCATTTACTATACACATGGACTTTGGTAAACCACTTAATTTTTTTAAATCTCAATTTTTTAATCTCATGTCAGCAAAATTAGGTTAATAATGTCTACTTTAATGGATAACTATGAGGATTAAATTATTTTTTCAAAAATCTATTTTCTATTTTATGTTTTTGTATTTCCCTACCATGTATGCAAGTTACTTACACATACATGGTTGGTTCTCAATAACTGAATAAATCCTCTCCCACTCCTCCCTTACAAGAGGCTTGAGAATGGGCTCTATTTTGGGATGGTGATGGAGGCTATGACAGTTTTCTCCCTCTCTGCCCACTATGTTTATAAAATGACTCCCTCTTAGGTGGCATGTAAGCTTCATTTCTGTTAGCTCACCCACTATTCTATTTCCAGTGCCTCAAAAACAGTGCCTAGTACTTAATGCACTGTATAAACCTTGGTCGCAGGAATGAACACATGCTTCCCTTGAGAAGAGCCCATATCCAACCGATGGCTGTGAAGATAACTACCTCCAGTACATGCTTCACCACTGCATCCGTAGTTCCAAACAGATCAACCCCAGTTATTCCTCTCACATCTGACTCCACTGCGCCAGGGGACAAGTTTTTTTTCCTTAGACCTTTGAAGAGATAAGGAGTGGGATAAAAGATGCAAACATAATGTTACCAAAAAGAGCACAGTAATAGAAACACAGAAAGGTATAGTGATAGACTAACATTAAAGGGAGGGGAGAAAGAAATTTAGAGACTGAGGAAAGAGAGACTCAAGAGTTCCTATCTCTTTCTAAAAATGTTCAAAATATTGAAGTACATTCACTGTCTTCTCTTTTGCCCCCTCACACGTAACAGACCCACTACGGGGATTTCTTCCCAGAGGACGATCCAAACTTCTGACACAGCTAACTTCTTCAACAAACCTGACCTCGAGCATTGTCTATTTGAGATGATGCCCATTTCCATTCTTCAATGTTCTTGAAATGTGGCTCAAAAGGTAAATATTTAATTTCCACTTTCCACTTT